ATTTTTACCTTTACTAAGCTGAAAGTTAATTCTGAAAATACCAACTTGATGTTCAGGAATCACCACCTAAAAGTGTCATAGTGTGAAACTTAGCTTTTCTTTTAAACCAGGTTTGAGTTTGATGTTCTTGTTTGGCTTAGTGCTTCTTTCTTTAATGTGTATTGAAGTACTAATGCCTTATGGTGATAGTGAACCAACCTTTTAGAGCTTTCAGTGATAGCAAACCGCCTGCTGTGCCAGACATACATGCCATTGGTTCACCATTACTGAATATGTTATGTAGCGCCCGCACTCATGCGTGTGTTCTTTCTCTCCTTCCCTCCTTCCTTCCCTACCTTTCCCTCTCCCCCCCCCCCTTTTGAGATAAGGTCTCAATATGTAATTCAGGCTGTCCTTGAAGTCTATTTTTAGCTCAAGTTGTCCTCAAACTCAAACTCTCAGCAATCCTCCTGCCTTGGCCTCATGAGTGCTGGGGTTACAGACATGTGCCACTGTACCCAGCATAGATCTCCTTTTCAGTTAAACTACCTATATGTTATTGTCTGTAGTATGTGGGCAAAGAGGGATGTGGTCATTTTCTTTGCCTTTGCTTTGTGTGTATCTCCCGTAGTAGAAAGTCATTCGGTTTACAGACTTGTCAGAGCAAGTAGGTGTTGCTCTTCTTTGCCTCAGTTTATTTCCCCTTTATTTGCAAGCTGCTGTGGTTCTTTTATTCGTTTAATCTAGTAGTGTTACACTTTTCTTAAGCATTTTATTATTTTTATCTGGCAGGCTTATCTTCAGCAGACTCAAGAACTGGTTTTACTTGAAACCATAATGCTACAAACACTAGGTATGTACTTATATCAGTTATTTTGTGTTCTTCAGTGCAATATTATAAATACATAAAATTTCTAGAATAAATTTATTTTTGAAGCCAGTTATTTTTAGACAGGTTTTTGGACCAGAATACTATTATCTAGTTAGAAGGAAACCATTTTTCTAAAATTCCATTTCATTTAATATAATTTACCTAAATGATATGTGTAAATTCATTATTATTTCTTTGGTTTTTTGGGTTACTGAAGCACTATGTTGGATTTGTACTGGAGAGTACTTTATGACTCTTTGTTTTCAGAGCTGATAGTATTTAATGAATATATCACATTTTTAATGTGAAATAGTAATTATTTAAATGATCATCTTGTTCAAAAATTTTCTTCATATGCAAAGTTTATTTACTGTTTCACTTCACTAATGAAGAAATTAAAGGCTGAGATGGTTATGACTTCTTAAAATCATGTTCTACTTAAGGAAGAATATAGTAGGGTGTAGTAGGATAAATATGTGCTTTCAGAGAGATCTAGTTTTAAATCTGTAGGTCCCTGATTTGTTCTGTAAACTTGGGCAAAATTTGTTTACCTGTTATACCTCCATTCTGTGGATGTGAAATAGTATCTGCTTTATACCACAAAGGTAGATCATTATAAAAGGAGCTTATTTGAAATGTATGTAATAGGGCCAGTGATACAGCTTAATGGACTAAAGCACCTGCTTGAGCAAGCACACCATGGTCCAATCCCCAGAACCACATGCCTTGACAGCCCTGCCCCCAGGGCAGGCTGAGCCATCCAGAGTTGGGTGTAGTGGCCTGTATGTATAGGGCCAGGGAGATTGAAAACAAGAGGATTACCATGAGTCTGAGCTGCATAGTAAGACCCTACAACAACCAAATACATTTTAAAAAAAGAAAGAAATGCATATGATAAAATGATAAAAGTAAAAGTGAGACTTGACATGTCATTTTATGTAAAATATAAATGTATGGTAGATTATGGACATTTACATAATACCATTTTGAATGAAAAATTATAAACTGCATTATCGTAAAATACCAAAAGTTTTGTTTCGATGTTCTGCTTTGTTGCATTTTGCTTTATTTTTGAGACAGGGCCTCTCCAAGTTGCCTAGGCTGGCCTTGAATTCGTGATCCTCCTTCAGCCTCCCAGAATACCAGGACTATAGGCATGTACCACCATGCCTGGCTTATAAGTTGTTTTTATTATATGAAGATATGTAGAGGCTGAAGGTACAGTTCAGTGAGAGATTGTTCTCATAGCACGTGCAACACCTTAGGTTAGAGACTGTTGTGGTGGTGCATGCCTGTAATCCCAGCACTCAGGAGGCTGAGCCAGGAGGATCATTGCAAGTTTAAGACCAGCTTGGGCTACAAAGTGAGCTTAAGGCCAGCCTGAACTGCATAGAGAGACCCTGTCTCAAAAAGACAGGAATAAAAAAGACCTTAAGTTAGATTTCCATTACCATTAATATTAGTAACAACATGAAGTCATTTTGTAGCTGAGCAAGATGGTACATGTGTATAATCCAAGTTACTTGGGAAACTGAGGACGGAGGATAACAAATTTGAGGAAGGGGTAGGGTAATGGTATGACTCAGTGGTCTTAATAGATTTAATACCCAGGATGGGAAGTATATGTAACATATACTATTTATAATACATTGTGAAACATGGAGAATCAATAACATTATTTTAAGAGAACATTAAAATTCTAGACAAAATGCCTCTGGTTTTATTTAAAGTATTTTATATGTTTAATTGCAGAGGAAAGGGCTGGGGAGATAGCTCGGCGGTCTAAGCACCTGCCTGGCAAGCACAAAGACCTGGGTTCAGTCCCTGGTACCACATGCTGTACCAGCCCCCAAAACCAGGCGTAGTGGCACACACCTGTAATCCCAGCGCTGGGGAGGCTAAGACAGAAGGAACACTACAGGACCAAGCTACATAGCGAGACCCTGTGCCAAATAATAAGTAAATTTTTTAATTGCAGAGGAAATAAAAATTATACAACTCCATAAATCCAGATTACTCATTGTTTCTTTTATTTACTGCTTCAGAAGGAACTAGATGTTACCCTCCCTTTTTAATAAAAGCAGAAATCCTAACATAACTAAAGATTGACTGGACATTGAAAGCTTTTCACCATTTTATTTTTGGTTTTAGAAATATTGATTCATATAATTATGGGGCCTACATAGTTCATTTGCCATGATTTTTGGTATAAATGAAATCTAGTTGTAAGTGATTTTAAACTTTTTGCTGTAACACGTAGTTAAGAGAACTGTTATTTAAGAGTAATTTCTACCACTGTTGTCCAACAGTTATGTTTATGAATAATTTTTTCCCATGTTCTGAAGATTTAGAATATCAAAAGATCATACTTAGTTGAATTCCCTGCATAAACTGTAGTTTAATATGTAATTGTTAGTTGCTATAATTTTCATTTGTTTTTAACTTGAAAATAATTCCAAATTAATTATTCAGAATTTAGAGGGGCCAGGGAGATGGCTCAGTGGAATAAGCCCTTCCCTGGCAAGCGCAAGGGCCTGAGTTCAAGCCCCAGTTCCACCAAAAAAAAAAAAAAAAATTCTAAATTATCATGGCCAAAAAATAAATAAATAAATAAATAATCTAAAAAAATAAAAAAAGAATTTATCCTTATCATTAAAAAACTATTCTCCTAGTAGAAATACTGTAGTTCTCATTTTTAGAGGTATAGTGAAAAATATTACACCACCTCTAAAAGAGATTGAGAAGCTTTAATGATTCTGTGTTTGGATCTATCTTAATAATGAAGACTATTATAGATATGTGGTTGTGTATTTCTCTGGCAAGCATGTAGTGGTAAGTAGTTGGGGAAAAAAAATGCTTATAATTTCAGGTTTTGAGATCACCATTGAACACCCACACACAGATGTGGTGAAGTGCACCCAGTTAGTAAGAGGTAAGTCATCTTAAAAAATTTTTAAATAAATATTAATACTTTTATAATTTATAAGTGGTTTGGATGCTATTTTATTCTCTAGTCTGTTGGGTTTTATTAAAATGGGGTAAATGTCATTTTGAAGCATTAATTTTTAGTGTTCTGCATCAAACTGCATCTTCTAAGCAAGCATTAATTTCCTTCAAAAAGATGAGAATATCGGTTCACTGAAAAATTGAGAGCTTCAAGTAAGAAATCCTTACCATTGTACTACTCCACTTAATACTTAGAATGTAAGCCATTAGTAACTAGTAATGTTAATTTCTGATTGATAATAAAGTTTCATTGTCTTCTTAAAAAGTGATAACAGTTTAAAAATTTTGAAAGCCTTTCCAATAACAGTTGCCTTTATTAGTAAATCTGTTACCTTTGGAAATGATTTTTCCGTACTCATTTAAACAAAATCGATTTACTGAATTTTCTTTAAACTACTTTAGCTTTTCTAAAATAGTTTCATTTTTATGTAAATGGAGAAATAACTATAAATCATAATACATTTTGTGGCATAGTACTATGAAGTTGTATATTTGCATTACTGGGTATAAAGTGTGTGCTACATCTTTCTCCTCATATCTGTGGATTCTGTGTATCTGTTGTTGTAGTCCCAGAAATACCTTTTACTTAGCTGCATGTCTGCTTCTTCTACTTTCCTGTTATCCATTTGAAGTGTTATATACTCATAGCAACCTTTTCAGACCTTTAATATACCATTTTCTCTTCATTTTTGAACAAAATTTTGCAGTTTCATGTTTTTGCTCCCAGTCTTTTAGACTTACTCTAAGCAAAACGGATAAGGCTTTTGAATTTTAATTTTTTTTTCTTTTTTCTTTTGCGGAACCGGGGATTGAACTCAGGTCCTTGAGCTTACCAGGGAAGCGCTTATTCCACTGAGCCATCTCCCTGGCCCCAGGATAAGACTTTTGAAGGCCTTATTTTTTTGGTTTTATCCAAGTATTCTGACATCTTATTCATCCTAAATTGAATTCATTTTTACTTACATAACAGCATTTTATGTTGATCATTGCATTTTTTTAAAAAAGCCTGTAATCGGTAACTAAAGAATAGATTTATAAAAATTTTATTTGCATTTGTTATCATAATAGCACCTATTCTAAATCACTTTATACAGTAGAATGTATTTGATTTATGATTTCTATTATTATATAAATTTTACAAAATATAAATGTATTTTATAGCACATTTTCACCCCCAGGATTACAGTTTATAGAATTATTTAATTACAGATGATAAATTAAGAAAAAAATAAGTTTTCTTTTTCTGAAGGTTTTAAAGGACAAGCTAAGCTTTGTAAGAAAAATAAAGGACCATATAATCTGCTCTCATTTGAGAATCTAATGAAAAAAGATACTAGATGAAGGAAGATATTAGTGTAGGCTTTCAAAAATCACATTTGTATATTTGCTCAGTAAAAAAAAAAAAAGCTAGATTTTAAATCATTCACAAAAATTACAGATTGATACATCATGTAAAAGAGCATTTAAATCTGATTTTGTTATTACTAATGTTTAAAATGTGACATGCTTAAATTTTAGTTTGGACTCTATATGTTTAATTTCATTTTGTCTGACTAACATTTCAAGTAACTATAATTATCTCTCACTTCATTTAAAAAAATGTTATTTCATGTTTGGTGTCTGTTTTTCTTTGCTCTGTTATCACTTTCAACTAACAAAAGACTATTTCCCTTCCATTCTTAACAGTGGTGGTAGATTAATGAATTTAGATACATTCCTAGGTGAAAACTGCTATCGCAATTTAAGTGATTTTTTTTTTCCTTTTCTATGTTTTGATTACTTTGGGGGGTACAAAAATTTAATTTCCATGAAGTCCCTCCGTGAGAAAGTTGATATTATGCTACTTTGGTACAGAATTGGCTTTTGTCATTTTCCAGGGACCTTTCATTTCTGTGATTTCTCCTTCCCTCCCCACCAGGAAAGAATGCCATACTTAAGTCACACTGCCTCCAAGACATCTGATGCTTTGACACTCTTCCTTAGTACAACTCTGCCAAACCCAAATCCCTTTTGTAAAACCCTTATGTTGATGATCCACATGGGGCAGCAGGGATTACAGGTGCCATGAATGAGGGGGGTGGGATTTGAGCCCTGTTACAGAGGGGTGATGTTGAGATGAACTGATCCTAGTACAGCAGTGTTTTTTAGTATAATTGGGGGTAAAAGTGAAAATATAGTAAGGATATTTCTGTTGAAAATAATATCAAGCAGAAAAAGGGGAGGGGAAACTATTTTCGGTACCTTAAGAGGCTGGTTAAAAATTGCTTTGCTGTTGGGGACCAGTGTTAAAGCATCCTGATTGCACCATTGAGGACTCATATCTTTTCTAAGTGTTATCTTTAATTGGATTCTATAAATTTTCTTTAAAAATAATACAGTGGAGCTTCTATATCTAACTCTTATGATGCTTTTAGGTGTTTTATTCTGTTGATGGTTAATAGCATGAAAAACTGATGAGCAGTTTGTGCTCTTGATTTTGGGAGGGTGGGGGCTTGTTTTGTTTTTATTTTGATGGAATTATTTAAGCCACTTAAATGACTGAGGATTAAGTCTGGCAGGCAACTCTGTATTTTGTATTAGACTTCAAAAATCTTTTCTTCTTCTTCTTCTTCTTTTTTTTTTTAAATCCAGGAGAATGCTTTATTTCAACTTTTAGCTGACTAGATGCTTAACTTAGTAACAAGTTTAGCCCTTGTAACTGGCTAGCTAAAAGCAAATCGGCTTGTTTCTCAGATCTTTGGGGGATAGCAAGAAACATTTGAGTGAATGTTGTTGAAGATTTTCAGTAGTATAGAAAATGATGGCGCTCTTGTGATATTTGTAAGTAGTAAGTAAAATTTACTTTTTGTGTACAAATCTTTGAAGTTTTGTTGTGTTGAGAACTTTTTGATGGTAACATGTTAATGCTGATAGTTTTGTCTTCGTTTTTTCTTTCTTTTCTTACAGCAAGCAAGGATTTGGCACAGACATCCTATTTCATGGCTACCAACAGGTTGTTATCCTGACCCTCTTTGTTGCACTGTTGTAGCACACTATAGCTTCCTTTAATGCAGGGCCCCCTCAATGTGTCTCTTACCCTTGTTGCGACAGGAGACTGGACCATCTACTGTGGTGGTACCTTCCTGTTTGCTTTGCGGTGTATTGTACAAGGGACTTTGGGCACAGAGGGGTTAAATGCACAATGTGAAGTGTAGTGGTGCTTTCTGATGACATATTCTCGATTTGTGAGTGCATAAGTCTAAAATTGGTAGCCTGAATAGCAGCTAAAGATTACAAAGAGCTAAACTTAACGTAGAAACTCGAGCAACTTGGTAAGTATAAAGCTATTTCTAGTTTACAATTATAGTTAAATGACAATTTTTTTAAAATTTCACATTGATCTAAACAGTCATTAAAGTTTTTTAATAAATTTCTATAACTTGGGTTTTTTTTTTCCAGATAATACAAACAATAAATTAGAATTAGTCAAGTTGTTCAGTGCTTGGGTTTGCATAAATATAATTTTTACCTTTATAGGTTTCAAAAAAATTCCTTCTCAGTTTATATAAAGCAAAAAATGATATGTTTGTGGTTAGTAAACATTTCATCATTTCTGAAAATAAACTGGAGAATGATATTAAAGAATTTTAAATATCTAATATATAGTTCTGTTCTAGGTTGATAGTAAAGATTAAAACTTATTTTTTAAGTGGGCTGTTGGGAAAATGGACTATACCAGTTTTGTGTGGTCCCTAGTATCTTTTAGCACTGATAAGTTTTATTTAAAATCTTGGATTAGCAGATGTCAGTATATTTTCTGAAATACATGTTGTTGGAATTTAACCTCTGTCTAGAAATTCTGAAGGGGAAAAGACATATTTAAAACCTTGGTTAGAAAGGCTAGCCCTTCTGTGCTGTGTCACCTGCCCAATTTTTAGTATATAGTAGAAGAAAAATGTTAGTATTTTTGTAGTAATTAACCAATAATGGGCCATGAAGTTGCTTTTCAAAAGGTAAGTTCCCTTGGGGCTTTGTTGGAAAAACAAAAGCAAACAAAACAGATTTACATATTTAAGAAATAAATTCTTTGATTAAAGAATTATAGGTAAGCCACATCAAATGGTTATAATCCTTGATTATGAGGTGACATTGACATTACTTTTACAAACTTTAATTACATTTTTGCCATGACATTACAAAGGAAAAGTTAAAAAAAAAAATTCTATTTGGGCCTAGTAATAATTGAAAGTGTACTATCTCCCCCTCTTTTTATAAAATACTCTGAATTTAGATATTAAAAAACTTAAATGCTAATACATTAATGGTAGTAGAGTATAAGTATACCATGAGGGACAGCATTTTATAATTTACATAAGCTTTTTTCAAATTAGAATTTTTGTTGTTAGCTTTAATAAGGTTAAGAAAACCTAAAATTTAATTTTTCTTTAATCTTACTGATAAATGTTTTTCTTTATTTTACATATTTGAATTTCTATGGTCTTCCATTTTCAAACCTGCTCTACAACAGTCTGCATCTTACGACCTTCTGTCTTCAGTACAAACCAACAGTGATAGCTTGTGTGTGCATTCATTTGGCTTGCAAATGGTCCAATTGGGAGATTCCTGTGTCAACAGATGGAAAGCATTGGTGGGAATATGTAGATCCTACAGTTACTCTAGAATTACTAGATGGTAAGTAGAGAAGTTGGTATTTATTCTAGTTTTTTGGGTTTTTTTAATTACAAAAAAACTTTACATCTCTGCAGGTTAGTTATTCATAGTTGGATTTCAAAAGATAAGGACTCTCTAAAGACATAATTCCATGATCAGGTCCATAGAATGAAGATTATGTTCATTAACCTAATGAGAAAACAAATATATTGACCATCTGTTTATATTCAAGACATTTAGGATTAGAGCTTAATCATTAAAAAATGGGACTGGAATGTGGTTCGGTGGTTGCGTGCTTGCCTAGTTTGCAAGGTCTCAGCCATTCCCACCATTGCCAAAAAGAAAAAATACTGAGTCCATCAAAAAAAAAAAAAAATGCATACATACTTCAACAAAAGAACTTGTATAAATATTGTAATACTAAATGTATCAAGAAATTAATACAAGTTCCCTTTGGACCACTGCAATCACAAAGAGGTGCTTGAAGCGGTAGACATTCACTTCCAGACATCCTCTAGAGTCACAACATAAGGGTAAAATCATCTGTTGAAAAAAATATACTGTTTTTCTCTTCCTGAAGTGTATATACATTTGGCAATCATATGTAAAGCTTTGTCAGGTTTTCAAAAAAGTATTTTAAATGTTATGAGTTAATAGGACAAGAATACCTGTTTAAAACATCATTTTCAAATGTGTAAACTTAGGCTTAGGGTGGTAGAGCATAACTCTACATGAGCACGGCCCTGGGTTTACTCGCCAGCAATGCCAAAAAATAAAAGTGTGGCTGTAAACTCAGTTGAGTGCTAACTATGGAAGATACTAAGCAATAAAGGGATTTATCTGGTAGAGAAAAACGACAGGGTGTCAGAGATGGGAGATTCTTGGGATTGGGACATTTTAACTAGATATGTAGACTTCAGAAAGGGAAGTAGACTGCTTTTGTTTGCAGATCATTTGGTTTGCAAACAGAAGCAATTGGCAAAATTTTGTTTTTGTTTGCAAACTACATCAGGTACATACATGACCAAGACTATCTTTCCTACACAAACACAAAAGTGGCCATCTTTTTCAACATGGTACAACAAACTAAGTTTGTGAACCAGGGTACCGCTGTGTAAGAATTCTTACCTAACACATAAAACTGAACTAGTATTATCAGATTTTCAGCTTACTCTTTTGGGCTTCTTTCAGTTCTTTTTATAAAATTGAGGCTAATGGGATAACAGGATTCACATTTGTTCCTGTTGTGGACATATGTTACATAAAGTGGGAGAGAAGATGCTTTAGTTTGTTGGCTATAAGATCTCTGTTACAACTTTACTGTTGTAATCAGAAAGCAACTGTACACAATAGGTTAATGAATAGGTAAGACTGTATTCCAATAAAACTTTGTTTATAAAAATAAGCAGCAGGCCATATTTGGCTAATTGGCCATAACTCCTGTTATAAAATCACTTCTTTGGGGCTGGGGTATGACTCTGCAGCATGATGCCTACCTGGCAAGCATGAGGTATCAAATAGCTTCTTTCTTAGATCCTTTTGTTTTCATTTTTTCCTCCTTGAACAGTTTCTTTTTTTTTTTTTTTTTTTTTTTCGGAACCAGGAGTTGAACTCAGGCCCTTGTGCTTGCCAGGCAAGCGCTTATTCTACTGAGCCACCTCCCTGGCCCCCTCCTTGAACAATTTCTCACAAAATACATAGTTCATATCATATTACTGCCACCTGATTATACTGCTTTTTTATTGTTAATGATTTTCTCAGTTTATCTATAGCAAAGAAAATCATAAATGAATTGAAATGACATCTGAAAAACAGTGGGGCTTTTGTACTGTTGTACTGTTCTGTAACTTGAAAATTAGATTGTCTATGTACTATGTTAACTTTGGTGATCATTAGAATAAAAAGAAACAATTTTTATAAAAATAATTTATATACATAGTAGGAAAGTAAAACATGAAAAGTAGGGGCTGGGTGGATAGCTCAGTGGCATAAGTGCTTGCCTGGCAAGCACAAGGTCCCGAGTTTGATCCCTGGTACCATGTGTTGTGCCAGCCCTGGAACCCCAGGTGTAGTATGCCGGCCCCAGAACTAGGTGTGGTGGTACATGCCTATAATCCCAGCACTTAGGGAGGCTGAGACAGGACGATCAGTAGGAGTCCAAACTGCATAGTGAGACCCTGTGACACAAGGGCTGGCCAGATAGCTCATTGGATTAAAGCACCTGTTTAGGCAGAGCACAGGGACTGGATTCGATCCCATTGTGCCAGCCCTGCCCCCGGAGCACACTGAGACAGTGAATAAGACTGGGCATGGTGGTGCATGCCGGTAATCTCAGTGCTAATTCCAGCACTTGGGAGGCTGAAAACAAGAATCACTAGGAGTCCAGTCTCTGTAGTGAGACTCTGTAGACCCTGTATTAAATACAAATAGGGGATCATAGCTCAGTAGAATAAGTGCCTGCCTGGCAAGCACAAGGTCTTGAGTTCCATTTCCACTACCACTAAAAAAAAGATGTGACATTTTTAGACAATGGAATGTTACTTAAAAAAATGATAAACTCAGTGCTCTATAGGTACATGGATGCAACTAGAGAACCATACTTATAAGTAAAATAATTTATACCCATACGTATAAACATAATATTGTTTTCCTAAGGTAAGAACTTGAAAGAGTAAATAAAATCTGAAACGTACAATAGATAACTGTAAAAAGGGAAAAAATTGTTTGGAGCTGGCAAGATAGCTCAGCGGACTAAGCGCTTGCTTAGACTAGTGCAGAGGCCAAGATTCCATCCCTGGCACCACATGCAGCACCAGCCCCGTCCCCCAGGCACACTGAGCTGGTGATGGAGTCTAGGCATGGTGGTGCTCGCCTGTAATCCTAGCACCAGAGGGAGGCTAAAAACAGGAGGATCACTAGGAGACAGAGCTGCATAGTGAGACCCTGAACCAAAAAAAAAAAAAAAATTTTTTTTTTGTTCAAAGGGAAGGAACAGCTGGGATAAGGGAAAAGAGGAAGGAAGGGAAAAAGAAATACATATCTAGCTACACAGGATAGCTTGGAAATTATACTGCTGATTTGGTTTTGTTTTTGTTATTTTTGGCTGGCTCAGGCTACCTTAAGGGCAGGTCTGCTGTAGCATGTGGAGCTGGGGATCGAACTGCGGTCCCGTTGCCTGAGTTTGCCCAAGCAGGTACTTTAAACAACTGAGCTAACACACAAGCCCCTTTGCCAGTCTATTGAAAGGAGCAGTTAATAATGCTTTTTTTTTCTCTCTTCAGGGTTTTGTTTTTTTTGTTTGTTTGTTTTTTGGTTTTTTTTGTTTGTTTGTTTGTTTTTTGTTTTTTTTTGACCGATTTGGCAGGCTTCTTTCTATCAGGTATTCGGAACAACTAATTTGAAGACAACAATATGCATTATAACCATTGTCCAATTCCTATAATTTTGTTTAGTGAAATTCTGTGTCACTTGTTTTTTTAAATTATTTTTTATTCTCTTAAAAAAATTTAAAAAGGGGGCCTGGCCCTAGCTCAGTCCTTTAAGTGGCTGCTTCCACAAAGCTGTCAGCCTCAGGTTGCTGGAGTTCGAACCTCACAACTCTTCAGCTGGCCAAAAGTGCCCTGAAAACATTCGAGGAAGAAAAAAAAAAATTCCTAAAAAAATTTTAAAATTAACTCAACATGGATTGAAGAACTAAACATCAAATTTTTTTTTCTTTTTTTTTTTCTGGCAGATCCGGGGATTGAACTCAGGCCCTTGCACTTGCTAGGGAAGCACTTATTCTACTGAGCCATTTCCCTGGCCCCTAAACATCAAATTTTTAAAAAATATAAATGAAATTTTTGTAACACTTTTTAAAAATGTATTTGGTAGAAGGTCTCACTACACAGCTCTAACTCATAGTGATCCTCCTGTTTTCAGCCTCCCCAGTGCAGGGATTACAGGCATGCACCACTACTGTCTGACTCAGTTACCTGCCCAGGACCAGGACCGGCATGACATGTGGTACCCAGTATTGAACCCTGGTTTCAGCACTTGCCCAAGCAGGCACTTAGTCAGTCCACTGAGCTATCTCACCAGCCCTAGTATTTAATTTTCAAATAATTTTAAACTTGAAGAAAGTTCTTCAAATATCCCTCACACATGTTTTCTTGCTGTTATCGTGTTATATAGCAGTACATGATTATAAAAGCTAAGAAACATTTTATAATAATGAAACCACAGGAGCTTAGCATAGTGGCACATATCTTTATAATCCCAACACTCAAGCATCTTGTACGATAAATAACTACTGTGAAGACAACAATATGCAATGTATTAATTTATCTGTCCTACTAACCTGTTTTGAAACTGTCTCATTGCTATTTCTTCCTCAAAATTAATTTTTAAAAAAATCCCAACACTCAGGAGGCTAAGAAAGGAAGATTGCTATGAGTTCAAGGATAGCCTGAACTACATAGTGAGACCTTATCTCAAAGTAATAATGATGATAAAGACCTTATCTCAGAGTAATAATGATGATAATGGTGGTAAAGAAACAACAGGTTGTATTTGTATTTAACATTTAAAAAAAAAAAAAAAAAAAACTCCTTTTTTTTGTCCCTGTCCAAGGAACCCATGTTCTGTTTAGTTGGCATATTCCTTGTTTCTTCTGGCCTGTGACAGTTATTCAGTCTTTCCTTGTCTTTGATGACCTTGACATTTTGAAGAAAATGGTCGCTGTTTTACAGAGCATTTCTTATTTAGAGTTTCTCAAATGTTTTCTAATAAGTAAATTAAACTTGGGGTTTTGGGGGTTAATAATACTGCATAAGTAGTTTATTCCCAGTTTGGTGCGTAACAGAAGAGTACATTGATGTATTTTACCACTAGCGGTGATCACTTGATTAAGGTAGGATTGCTGAGCTTCCCCACTGTCAAGTTACTGTTTTTCTGTTTGTAATTCATAAATATCTCAGGGGAGACATTCTGAGATTATTCTAAAGATCCTTTGTACTCTTTTTTTTCCCCACTAACTTTAAAGAATCCAGTGGATCATTCTTTCCTACAACAATACTATAATTACTGGCAGTATAATATTCCTGTATTATTTACATGAATTTTTTTAATAGAAGGGTTACATATTTTTAATACTGTCAGATTTTTAGTAAATTCCCAGTATGCAAGTAAAATCAAAAGGGGAAGTGTTTTTTTTAAAAAAGGACCCAGCTTTGGGGTGGTGTAGTTCATTGGCACAGTGCATGCCTAGCATGCATGAGACCTTGAGTTACACAAATAATTCACTTCTGTATATGCTAAAAATTGAACAAAAGTTCATAATACAGTGGCATCTCGATTCACAAATTTAATTCTTTCCGTGATTCTGGTTGCAACCAAATTCATAGAATATATTCAGCAACCAAAATTATAGAATTAAGTTCATAAACTGAGGTACCAATATAATAGAGATGAGCTCATAAGATTCCTTTTTAATATCACCCACTTGAGAGAAATTTAAATCCTGACGATATCTTCTAAGTTCTAAATTTAAATTTTATTTTTAGAGCTAACACATGAGTTTCTACAAATATTGGAGAAAACGCCTAGTAGGTTGAAGAGGATTCGAAACTGGAGGGTAAGAGTATTGGCAGGATTTAACAGAACCAGTTTGTCACAATTTATGTAACAGATAGCTGATTTGGAATTATGTGTTTAATAATTTTCTTTTCAGTATTCCTAAAAGCTTTATTTCATAAGCTACATATGTTCCTAGTTTATTAAATTATTATGTGTAGTAGAATTTCTAAGTGTATATTATCCACTGTATTTTTAAGTCTCACAATGATTGTAATGGAAATACTGTGTTTTACAAATGAGGACACTATAGCTTAGACAAATTACTGTCTCAAATGGTGGGCTAGGATTTAGTTTGTATCTGATTCTAAATCCAGTGCTTTCAAAGACTTCTGTCACACCTCTAAATTAAGATATTTACTGCCAGCATAATATCTTGAGCCCCTGGTGATTTTATTTTCATATATGTAAAGTAGAATGTTTAGAATCAAAAAACCCAATGATAAATCTCTCTGCTGTCACTACTTCTTTTGTGTTTTATTTGCATAGGCTGATCAGGCGGTTAATAAGAAACCAAAAGTAGACGGACAAGTAACAAAGACACCACTTCTTGGTTCATCTCTGGTCCAGAATTCCATTTTAGTAGATAGTGTCACTGGTGTACCTGCAAACCCAAGTTTTCAGAAACCATCTACTTCTGCATTCCCTGCACCAGTACCTCTAAATTCAGGAAATATTTCTGTTCCAGAGAGTCATACATCTGATAATTTGTCAATGCTAGCCACAGGAATGCCCGGTACCTCGTATGGTTTATCCTCACACAAAGACTGGCCTCAGCATCAAGAATCAGCAAGAACAGATCCAGTGTATTCACAGAAGCAGGAGGCATCTCTCTCCAGTAGCCAGTACAACATCAACTTCCAACAAGGACCTTCTTTGTCACTGCATTCAGGATTACATCACAGACCTGATAAAATGTCTGATCATTCTTCTGTTAAGCAAGAATACACTCATAAAGCAGGGAGCAGTAAACACCATGGGCCGATTTCGGCTACTCCTGGAGTCATTCCTCAAAAAATGTCTTTAGATAAATACAGAGAAAAACGCAAGCTAGAAACTCTTGATGTCGACGTAAGAGATCATTATATAGCTGCCCAGGTAGAACCGCAGCACAAACATGTGCAGTCGCAGGCAGCAAGCAGCAGTTCTGTAACCTCTCCCATTAAAATGAAAATTCCCATCGCAAATACTGACAAACCTGAGAAGTACATGGCAGACAAAAAAGAAAAGAGTGGATCACTGAAATTACGAATTCCCTTGCCACCCACTGATAAAGGCACCAGCAAAGAAGAACTCAAGATGAAGATAAAAGTTTCATCCTCAGAAAGACACAGCTCTTCTGATGAAGGCAGTGGGAAGAGCAAGCATTCAAGCCCACATATTAGCAGAGACCATAAGGAAAAGCACAAGGAGCACCCTGCAAACCGCCACCACACCAGTAGCCACAAACATCCCCACTTGCATAGTGGTGGTGGCAACAGTGGCAGTAAACACAATGCTGATGGGATACCACCCACTGTCTTGAGGAGTCCAGTTGGCCTGAGCAGTGATGGCATTTCCTCTAGTTCCAGTTCTTCAAGGAAGAAGCTGCATATCAATGATGCCTCTCACAACCATCACTCCAAAATGAGCAAAAGTTCCAAAAGTTCAGGTAGTTCATCTAGTTCTTCCTCCTCTGTTAAGCAGTATATATCCTCTCACAACTCTGTTTTTAACCATCCCTTACCCCCTCCTCCCCCTGTCACATACCAGGTGGGCTACGGACATCTCAGCACCCTCGTGAAACTGGACAAGAAGCCAGTGGAGACCAACGGACCTGATGCCAATCACGAGTACAGTACAAACAGCCAGCATATGGACTACAAAGACACATTCGACATGCTGGACTCGCTGTTAAGTGCCCAAGGAATGAACATGTAATCATTTGTTTAGGTCAATTTTTCCTTTACTTTTTTTAATTTAAAAATTGTTAGAATGGAAAACTTCCTCCTGATGTAGCAGTGGTAACACCTGCTGTTTCTGCCACTGCATCAATGTTTGTAAGTGCTGCTTTATTCTTCATTTTGAAAAGAAGAAATTATAGTAAACAAGTCTTTATCTCCACATATGATAGTGTTATAAATACTGTAAAAGCATGGAAGGTGCAAAACTCAGTATTTCTACAATTGCAGCTAAGAACTTTAGGATGAATGGCTGGCTGCTTCTAGGAATATAAGATGCCTCAAGCATTCATTATTTATAATTTGAATACTGTAGCTGTTTTTGTTGTTGCTTGGCTTTTGGATGAGTGAAAATTGTTTTCTTTTTGTGTATTTATACTTGTATGTATGATTTGCATGTTTCGATGAAAAAGGGATAAAACAGTATACTGATAACTGTTTACAAGAAAGTGGAGGAAAATGTACATACATTTTTGTATGTTTAGATATTACCATAAATACTCAGGATTGGAGCTGCTTGTAAGTATAACAATATACAGAATAACTTTATTTTCTCTTGTCAGAGTCCATCACTAATCTGAAACAAAGGTGGCACTTTTTCATGTTAACCTTAAACTCTAGGCCTTACTGGAAGCCGCTGAAGAGGGACACTTCACTACAAGATGAGTATGCAGTGCCACATGTGGTCTTTTGCACTGTGAGACACTCAGTTTTTGCCTTCAGAGGTTCTGACCAGATTGGCTGCTGAAATGGCTTCTAATTTCTGAAGGCTTGAAGAAGAAAAAAATAAAGTTTACATACTCTTGATGTGAAGTGCATTTAAATGTTTGTTGGCTTATTGCAGTATAAAACAGCAGTTAAGAATTATGTGGATTTCTGTGATTTGAAAGTTAAATTTCACAAAAACTTACATAGTGAAAAATTAAGTTTTTCCTTAAATAACTTTAACACTACATATTTTAACAATAAACAGGGATCACTTTTCCTTTAGTATTCAGAATGATACCATATTCTTAAATATTCTCCTCCCCTGAAGCGTGTTTGTGTGTGATGTCATACTTCTTTTTCAGGTAAATGCAGTCTTCCTTATAAAAATGAAATTAAACCTATGCTCTCTTAATTCTTTTATATTCTAACAATAAATGAAAAGATCACTGAGTGTGCATTGTACCTGTATTTATAGCTTACGTTCCTATCAGGAAGCTTTAGAATAAAGATTAGCCTCCAGGCAAACCTCTAGCAGAGGTTTTACATTTGTTTGCACATCTCAGTGTATTCCTATTAAGGTAAAGTTTTGCACAGTCATCTGACTCCTGATTGAATGATAGACTAACTTGTTAATGTTTTGTTTAAAATGCCAGTAGTATGGTTCTTGTCTGTTAGCTAATCTTGACTTTATTCTGTGGTAAATCTTGGAGCTTTTGAGTGTCTTTGAGTTGGGTTGGATTCAACTTCTGTTTTCAAAGAACTGAAAACTGTCTTAATTTTCCCGCTGCAAATGAACTATTTTTGTTACAAAGCCACTGATATGTGCACAATTGTAACTTTACTCAAATGTGTTGTGGTTGTAAATAATAGAGTTTAATCTGTGCTCTACTTTTATTTAGCAGTTATCAAAGATAACTATTATTTCATTGATGTTATTTGAAGTTGGGATACTAGGAGCCTCTTTCTAGGGACTTTACCTAGGTAGCATGTCCTCACATTTGTTTTTGTCTTGCATAATGTTAGTAATCTTTGTCATTATATGTAACTTTGTTGCTCTGTATGGCATAATATTGTATCCATAAACATGGTAATTTTGATGCAGTTACACTTACAGTGGTACATGATCCAAGGACTAGTATAGAATTAAGCTGAGGGCAAGATGAGGGAGGGAAGGGTTGTGTTCTTGGTAATTTAGATGTTTTAGATGTGAAACCTCTGCAGAGCTATCATGTGAAACGACATAGGGTGGTTGTGCTACTGTATAATTGGGGATAATACCTACCAGGAATTTTAATAAGATTTTGTAAAGAATATCCAGAAAAGTAGTGAACTTATTTTCAGTATGACATAGAAGACAATGTGAATATTTAAGGTCTGTGACTATAGTTAAACTAAGATTTGAAGAATTGTTTTGAAATGTGGGAATAAAGGTAATTTTGTTGAATCTTTATTGGTGCTAATGATGGACAATTAAAAAGATAGCTAGTGTATATTGTTATGGATCAGTACTTATTAGTACTTCCAAAACTGAATTTGAAATGCTATGTATTAACTTTTCACTCTGTAAATGTAATTCTTTACAATGACTTTATTTATTAAAGGGGAGTCAGTTGTGATTTTTACAGGATTGTGTGAGCTATTGAAACTCTTTAACCTCTGAACAGGATATTAAGCTTCCAAAACCACAAAGGGGATAAATGTAGAAATCTTTCTAAGTTTCATTGACATTAAACAAAAACCCTTATAATTCATATTACCATGAGTTTGCATAAACCATCTTACTTACATAGAATAGTTCATTGGCCTGGTCCCATTGGGCTTTACCAAAGAAAAAGACTCAGATGAATGGACATTACTGTGGGTCTTCTTGTAAGTAGCCATAAGTAAGCCAAAATAATATCAAACCTAGGTTTGAAATTCCATATGTGCAAAGTACTGTTAAGGTGATACATTTTTATGAGATTTTTTAAATATTTGAAATATTAAAAAGCATTATCTTTAAACATCTTATAAAAGAGTGATTCATTTTTAAGTTGCCTTTTTCCTAGATTGAAGATTTGTTACCCTTATGAAGAAGCACATTGCAAACAAAGGCTTCTACCTCTTTCAGCTGATTCTCCAATATTGAGCTGTGCCCCCTAAATATTTGCCTTAGCCACTTTAAAATGTAATTTTAGAACCAAAGCAAGAAGTGTTCACAGAAACATTCTCAGAGCTGTACTTTTCAGAATAAGTTTAATATATTAACAGTTAAATACCCATTAGTGGTTAAGCCCTTGCAGAGTTTTCTAGTGCAGATTTTTGTACTGAAAAATCATAGCATCTATACATTTGTAGCTTCATCTTCCCTCTGCAAATTCATGTAGGTTGTTTGGAGGCATTTATAAGTTCTGCCATGGTGTAGCTACGGTTTCTTAAGGATTGCCATGGGGTGGTGCTTATGTTACTTTGTACTGACAGTTCATAATCACTAGGTTACCTGACCTTGTTGGCCTATCCTCTCTCTGCTTCAGAGAACCATTGTCAGAGATTTCTTAGTTACCAATATCTTGCCTTAAAAAGTTTTAAGCACATATTCTTTTGTATTTGATAATATAAATATTCCTAAACCAACCTTAGAAATAAACCACTGAGTATATATGCATGAGTGTCAGCCACAATATGCCCACTTGATTGCTTAGACATGTTAGGGTTTTCACTCACGGAACTAGGGTTTTATTTTTAACATGATACCACCTGTAAAGAAAAATAGTCCTGTTCTGCAGCCTTCCCCCCTCCCCTTCGGTATTGGGGATTGAACTCAGGGGATCGTCTGCTTGCCAGGCAGGTATGTATGCCACTAACCCAACTCCCGAGGTCTGACAGTCCTAATCTCACCATCTCCTTTGATTGTTTTTTGGTACGGGGAATAGAACTCAACTGTGGGCTTGCCGTATAGGTAATATGCCACTGAGCTATATATCCCCAGCCCACCATCTCCAATTTTGTCTGAACAAAAGAATAAAGTTTCTCACCTGCCATTGTGCTTACCTTGCTAGGTGACTGTTTACATTTTCTTTGCTAGGAAAGATTTGCAAGCTCTTGAGGATCCTTGATTTGATATTTCTTGATTGTGTAATCTTTCTCATGGGAAGCAGTGGGATTCACCAGCCCGTTAGCCAAATAAAAGGTCAACTAATCCCAGCCTCTGGAACTACTTGAATTAACCAAATTCAAGCCCATTTATTTAAGATAGACTGATTCAGACAGATTTTTGCACTGAGAAGCAGTACATTTTATCCCCTGTCCAATAAGGTTACAAGGTTATATCAATATGTTAATTTGAAAGTTAACACCTGCATGAGAAGTCACTGGCAGTTTGTGATCAGCTGGTAGAGATGTAAACTAAGAAGTTCATATATATATATATATATATATATATATATATATATATATATATCCACATACATACACACAGGGTTAAACACAGCTACTTCCCCATCCCTTAAAAAAAAACAGATTTTGCCAAGTTACTAAATTGCCCAGGATGGGCACAAACTTGGGATCCTCTTGCTTCAGCTTCCCAGAGCGCTCGGATTGTAGATGTGTGCCACCATGCCTGGCTAAAATTTGCTAATCTTGTAAGAAAAATGTGAAACATCTGTCCTTACAATCAGTGAAACTGAAATGCTCAAAGTATTTTAGCATGCTTTCATTTCTTTATTCCAGGGTCAATTTGGGACCAGTCTGCTTTTGTCTCTGTGACTTTTTCTGTTGCACAATTTGCCATCATCTTCTCTGCCTGTCATATTCTTTCAGTAGATTGGTAAGCAGGATATATTGAAGGTTGCATGGCTAGGAGCAGTTCTTGTCTCATAAATGTAACTTAACCTAATCTCTTTGATTCATTAATCTCAAAAGTAAATTACTGAGAGCTAATTTTATTTCCAAGTATTGAGCAGAAATTTAAAAGTTTGTGCATTGACTTTTCTATTTAGTAGTTTACTTTGATTTGCCTATTAAATACTGATGAATCCATTTTAGTAATGAGGATAATTCTATTTTTAAGATGTTTGTTTTCAAGCAGCTTCACTCAGCATAGTTCATAAATACTAATGTGTTGTAAACAGTGATTGGAATTCTATTTTCTAAATGTACTCAGAACCCCCAAGGACAACTAAATGGGATGTTTGCTGATAGAAAATCCAGAACAGGCATATGTGTGTACTGGCATGAATTAGTCATTGAATTTAAGCTTATATATAAGGAATTAATAAAATTTGTTTATTAACATAAATTCAAGGCTCTAACATGTCTTGTTAACATGAGACAGAAGTAACTGACAGTCTGTGGGAAACTTGGTCTCTTAACATAATTGACTTTATTCAAGTAACATCAGAGTACGGGTTCTGGGATTACAGTGCTACCTCAACTCACAAACTTAATTTTTTCCACAATTTTGGTCGTAAAACCAAATCAGATTCAGTGTCAACCTTAAACCTAACTGTTGAGTTTGATTTGGTTCTTGTCCAATTTGATTTATGACCAGAATCATGAAAATAATTAAATTTGTGAACCATGGTACCACTGTAGATAGTACTTTCCAGTCTGAGCCTTGTAGCTTACCAGAGAATCATTTGGATGAGTTAATTTCATTTTATACCTTCATCACCTTTCCTATACAGTTTCATTAGTAGTATACCCTTTTAGTATTGGTGCTTTGCCCAACCTCCCTCCCCTCCCCTCTGAATTTCCTACATTTTCCACTTGAAAGAAAATTAGAGCTTATTGCAATAAGGAGCAAAGGTTACCTCAAAAATATATTTAAGCCTAGTTGTAAATTCTTTAAATCACAAGAGATTGTGTCAGTAATAAAAGATGTTCTGTTGTACAGTACAATATTGTAATTTTGTTCATTGTACTGTATAGTACTGTAGTTTTCTGTTACACCTAACATTACTGCATGTAAGAATTTTGCAAATAAAAGCAGAATCATCAAGTTGTTTCCTTTGACGATTTTTTTGTTCTAAATATTGTAATGTACATACTGTATACAGTTCCTCATTTAGTGACCAGTTCACTTATTGGCCCTTTCATAGGACCATAATTTGGTCATTAAACCAGGATATCTAATTACATTTAACCAAATTCATCCAAATCCATTGTTCTGTTACCTTTCTCCTTTTCTCAGTATTTTAAAATTTTGTTTTAGCTCTACTGTATAATCTGCCTATTCATTCCCCAACACCACCTCCCAAAATATCCTAAGGAACATTTTCACCGTATTACCATGAAATGAAAACAAATAGTTTATTACTTTCAAATGTCCAGGCATATACCCAAAAGTCAGTCTTCTCTAGTCTTTGAAGTCAGTACAGGTTTGTTTTACAAATGAATTCATCCATAGATGCAATTTTACAACAGTATGTAAGAGGGCAAATGGGTCATGGGCCATGGGTTGGACACACAAGTATTGGTTATCATTAGATAGAAGTGCCCATATCAGGGCTAATTGGCAAAATCACTAGCAAAGCATTTTTAAATGTAAGCTGAGCAAATACTTATAAAAAGTGATAACTGAGTCTAGAAATAGATGGGGGTTGAGCTGCTCCTTGAGAGGTTGATTGCATTGTCTTTGAGCTGTACATTATGCTACAGAAGGAGAGACTGCTCACCATAGTGGTCTTGTGGGAGGGAATGGATACAGTTCAGATGCGGAGTATTACACAACTTCCATTACTCCAGTTTGTACTTTGATCTTCCTAATTCAGCCACTGATAAGTGTCCACAGTGTAAGGGCTAATGAAGGTTAAACTTTAGGTGCTGCAGCAGCCTATTTTTTAGAATTTGGGATTAAATTTTCTTCAGTTGAGCTGCCAAAGAAACAAAGGAGTATTTAAAAAGAATAACATGAGCTCTTTAGTTGTTGAAAATGGGGGCAGTTGTGCTGGCAAATAGAGTGATAGTCATGGAGGGGAAGGGAATATAGTAAGTGAACTTAGTTACCATTAAGTACTCAGGTAACAAACTGGACTTCTGTCTTTGCTTACTGTGTCGCTAGTAATTTGTTTTGAGTAAAGCTTCCGAAGGTACCTGGTTTCCTTAACTGGTTTAACAACCTGTGAAAGGCAGCAAGGAAGAGTTTAAACATTGTACAAGTTGGGTAGCAATCCCAACTCCCACCTACCAGTTAGATGCCTGTAAGAAAAATTATCTCAACTATATTTTGAAGATTCTTTTTGTTTAACAAACTTCCTGTCACCAGTACTGTGATTTGTGTACATATTTTACTCACTACCCTTGGCCCACCAACTGGTGGAGTACACATGAACATAGTTATTGCTTTAGAGCTCAACTGATTTGTTTTAGTGTCTCAGTTTTACTGCTGGGATTTGAACTGTAATCCTCCTCCCTAAATGCTGGTTACAGGAATGTGCCATTGTTCATAAATAGATTTTTTTTTCTTCTACAATATTTCAAATCAAAGTGAGTAAAATAAGGAGTATAGTCATGCTTTTGTATTGGATATTTTTTTAAAACTGCACAAATAAGAAAAGTAAAACATCTTCACCTTACCTGGACTACATTTCTTAAAAAAAAATTGACAAAGCCTGGTGCTAGTGTTAGAATGTCCATACCATCGTGAAGTGATTACAGCCAATAAAATAAAGCTTAAGTAAGTTGGTGTCAAATTTGGTGGATAAATCCACAGCAGTGAAGGTTTTATAAAAGAAAAAATAGTCCTACTTAAAAGGACTGCTAAGAATTCCAAAGACCAGTGTTTCACAAGTGAAAGTTTGCAAAATGACTTCAACAAAGATAACCTTCATTCATATAGGGGTCAGAGTCCTTTGAAAAGTTTTTTGGTTTTGTTTTTTTCCCCATAATTTTATTGAGAAGCAAATAGCAATGAGACACTTTCAAACCAAATTGGTAGGACAGTTTCAATAATTAACACATTGCATACATTCTTCCTAGTGGTTAATTGCTGTACAAGATGCGGATATCCTATTTACAAACATCTTTGAAAAGTTTTTATGCTGATTCATTTTCCACTTCAGAGATTTTGTCCTACCAGCCAGTTAAGTCTTCACCAGTTGTTTTGTACACATGTTTAGGACCTGATTTACTTTGCAAACAAGTGAACATTGTCAGATCATAATATGAGTAGCTTACCTGGGAAGCAACTAGTTTAGGGCACCACCTTAAGCATTCTAACTTCTTGGAAGATTCTGGGTAGATGGAATCCAAGGCCCTTAGCTCCTCTTAGGCCTTGAGCTCCCTGGAATCCTTTAAGTTGAGACTGCTGCTGAAGAAGACAATCTAGAATCTCAATTTACTTTTCCACCTTACATTCTCCTTTGCAAGAATTAAGTGTATTCACCATGCAAGATAATATAGGTTATTTATATAATTTATTTAAAAGTACTGACAAAGCTTCAGGGCCAGAAATTAAAGAAAATATATAAAGCAATAGAGAGTATGGATCATGGTTAATTAAAACTGCAAACACTGGAATAGGTTCTCATTTAAAATATGCTTGAGGATGCTAATATGTAAGGTTTTTAGTGATACTGCAGAATCTGGTTAAGAGATTGGATTTCCAGTAGGAACAGAAGGGTCTCAACCATCATTCTCCACATGTAAGCAATAACAGCATTTATACAGCCCTGAGAAGAATCTTGTGTATTCACTGATTCCTCTTCAAGAAAGAATGCTTCAGAAGCTGGAAAGCAGAAGGTCGCTCGTGCTGGTCCCTAGAAAGGAAAACAACATTAGAAACAGCACCCTGTAAAGTGACTGGCAAGATCTATTTGATTCAAATGTAGACTTTAAAGGTAAAACTATAACCGACTGAGAGTCCAACAAAGTTGAGTCCAGGCTCCAGTTTTTAGCTGTGTAATCTTTGTGTTCCTCATCAGTAAAATGACAATATCTACTTCACTGGAAAAAAATAATATATACACAGCATTTCAACACTGGCACAGCAGGGATTCAAAAACTTGTGATTAAAAATGATTTTGCTGTTGCAGTTTGTTCAATTTGGGGTATAATTATAGTTACAGTTCACACTTCAAGGTTACAGTACAAGAACACTTAGCATTAGACTTAGAATTTTAGAGTATTAGAATCCACACTTAAACCCAGGTGTGTTGGCACACAGCTGTGATCCCAGCACTTTTTCTTTTTTTTTTTTTAATTTTAGGGAAGGGTCCACAGGGTGTTGAGAGTCTCACTACTAGATCAGACTCAGGGATCTGCCTGTTTACAGCCTCCCAAGAGCTGGGATTACAGGCGCACACTACTACACCCAGTCTCAATTGCTGTCTAGTCGGGGGCTGGCCTGACAGGCCCAGGAATCAGACGTGCTTGCAGGCACTTTAATCTGCTGAGCTACAAAGGCAGTAAGTAGGATTGCTGGGAGTTCAAGGCCAGCTAACTACATGGCAAGACTTTGCCTCCCCTCTGCCCCAAAAGAGCCAGAATTGAAACTTAAAAAATAGACATTTAACATTGCCAGTTAAACAGAAGACCCAGTGCTATTATGGGCTACTGGACTCTTTTAGAATATTTTGCTGAGTTTACACACCTATAATATTCAATAACGGAACTTAGAAAAAATGGGGTACACCATGAATGTCCATTTTGTATCTGTGTATTCAAAGTGGTTAGGATAGATATATAGTTGCATTCTCTTAATGAATAGAATTTGTTCTAATGGTGTTTGTAAATAGGATCACAAGTCCGCATCTTGTACAGCAGTTAACCACTAAGAAGAATATATGCAGTGTATTATTTGTTGAAACTGTACTTCCGATTTGATTTGAAACTGTCTCACTGCTATCTGTTTATCAATAAAACTTTGAAAAAATAGACATTTAAGCTAAGTATCATGGTACACATCTATATTCCCTGCTAACCAGAAAGCTTGGAAAGAGGACGGGGAGTTACAGGTGAAATGATCTGACTGCCACCATCCTCTCCCATGTTTGTACATGGGCTAAGGATGTATGATGAATTGATAAAACACAGTGAGCACACCCATAGCACCGGTCATTATTTAGTTTTGCTTCTGACCAGTAGCCTTCACCCCCTATACCCTAGCCTTGTCCCTGGTGGGTAGCCACAGCTTTTCACTGAATTATTCCCCCCTCAAAAGTCCCATTTTGACTTTACCTTTTATAGACCCCATTTATGCCCATGACATAATTTATACAAGGGTTACCTGGTCTGACCTCAGTGCCAGGGTAGTAGCTCTCAGGTTGTGAAATAAGTTGAGCTCATCCATTTATTACTTTTTTTTTTTCCTTCTTAACAGGCCAACTGCAACAGGCAATTTAGTGAGATACTGTCTCAAAAAGAGCTGGGGTGTTGTTTAGTGTTAGGTGTGTGCTTAGCATCCACCAGACCTTAGGTTGAATCCCCAGTTCCACAGACAATTTCATAAAAATTTTAAATGTGCTTTGGTGATTGAAATAATCTCATTTTGAGTACTTAGATGAGCATAAATTAAAAATAGTTGGTTAGTACTGTTCACTTTAGCTTATTCTTCAAGAAATTAAAATCTCTTGTAAATGTATCGTTCAGTAGGCCCGTCAGTGAACTACTGAAACAGTCAACAGCTGCGATGGGCTAGTTCAAAGGCATTCTCTTGGGAAATTGTCTTTATTTTGCACAGCGCTGTGAATCAAACCCAGGGCCTCATGCAGGCTAGGCAAGCTCTTTACCACCAAGCTACAACCCAAGCAATTTTGTTTTGTTTTATTTTTGAAAATGGCCTTGCTAGGTTTCCCAGACCTTCCTCAAAATTTGTGGTCCTCCTGCCTCACCTGGGATTATACTATGTGCCTGTGTACTCAATTGGCTCTCTTTTTAAAAGCAAAATGACTTCCGGAATATCTTTCAGGTGAAAATGGGAATGAACTACTTAAAATATATTTTAATACATCATTTCAAAATAATTTTTCCAGTTCCATCCCCGGGCCTGCCATGCCAGCCCCACCCCCCAGGCGCACTGAGATCAGGCAATTGAGACTGGGCATGGTGGTGTGCACCTGTAATCCCAGCACATGGGAGGCTGTAAAAAGAAGAATCACTATGAGTCCAATCTAGTAGTTAGACCCTGAACATCCTGTAGACCCTTCGCTAAAATACAACAATAATAATAATCTTTCCATCTGGAGGTCCTTTCTCCTGCCTTCAAAATTTGCAGATTTCTTCAAAAATCATTTGTTCGCCATCTGACTAGTCCCCCACCCCCACCCCATTTTTCCCCGAGGATTGATCCAAGGCCTTCACACTGAACTAGAGCTCCAGTTCATTTTATTTTTTGGGACAAGATTGTACTGTCACTAAATTACGCAGGCTAAATTCAAATCTGTAGTCCACCTCAACCTCCCAGAGTATAGGCATGTTCCACCACACCAGCTATCATATTTTTTCCATGCAAATGTCCATAATGTGACAAGCCTCATGAAGTTCTTGATTTTCTGATCTTGGGGATTAACTTCAAGGCTTTGAACTTATTTCAAGGCTTTGATATTTCTGTCACTAAGAAAAATGCTTTGTTCTACTTTTTCCCCCCAACATTTATTATCCCCTAAATCCTTATCATTTAGCCTACTGCTTTATAGAAATCGTCTTGAAATTAACCAAATCGGGGACTGGAGAGATGGCTCAGTGGTCTATAGCACCTACTTGGAACAAGCTTGGCAAAGCACAGGGACCAAGGTTCGATCCCCCCAGCACCACATGCCAGCCAGCCCCGCCCCCTGGTGGGCTGAGCTGGCCACACAAACACACACAATAAATAAATGTTTAAAGAAATAAAGACTTAAAAAAAAAAGTTAATCAAATCAAATGAGCTCATCTTGTTATCTGTTGCATTTGAAATGTTCACTCTTCCCTCCTATCTGAAACTGTTGGAATTTACTGTGATTCTCCACACGGGGGCAACTCCTCTCATTCCCTCTTTCCCTTTGTGTGCTCCTTTCCCCAGTTACATTTACATGCTAGATTTGATTCAGTGCATATTATTTTTCTCCTTGTGTGTTTTCAAAATTATTTTTCTTGGAACCTGGGTTTGAACTCAGGCCCTTGCTCTTGCCAGGCAGCGCTTATTCTACTGAGCCATCTCCCCGGCCCCTTTTTTTCCCTTTTGTTTTTTCTTTTTTTCTGGCTTCTTAATGTCCTACTGACACACTGTCTGGAGTAGTTAGGACTACAGGCCCATAATACTACACTAGTTTTATAATTCAAATGTAATTACTTTCTGGAGTTCCAAATGTCTTCTTCAACAAGAGACAAGGGGCTTTTCAACTCCTTCCTGTTCCTCTCTCACATCTATTTCTCCCACTATCCACATTCAAAATCATGAAATCCTATCATCTTTTTCCATTACTAAGTCTTGATTCACCTTCTAAAATGTCCTAGAAGAGTTGGTGAGATAGCTCAGCAGGCTAAGTGCCTCCTTAGGCAAGTGCAGGGACCAGGGTTTGATCCCTGGCACCCTGTACCATGCTGGCCTGCCCCCAAAAGCGCTAAGCCAGCACCTGAGTCTGGGTGTGGTGGTGCACACCTGTAATCCCAGTGCTGGGGGGGCTGAAGACAGGAGAATCACTGTGAGTCTAAGCTGTGTAGAGACCCTGTACAAAATAATTATAAAATAAAATGTTCTGGTATCCTGTCACTGCTTCTGCCATCAAAGTCTAAATTCTGCATTCCTAATTTGTCTTCTCATCTCAAGCAGTGTCCATTTCTGGCCCTTCAGTACACTACCATCTGACCTGCCATCCAACTTACTCGTGCCTCAGCATCAGGTGAGATGCAGGAGTCTAGAATTTCAGGAGGTAAGGTGTGTGTGTGTGTGTGTGTGTGTGTGTGTGTGTGACTAAAGTGTGTTAGTATTCTTCCTAATGATTGTTAACTAAGGAGTCCTAATTGAGTGCCTCATAGATTGGTAAACAATTTATATATGCTATTTCATTTAGCCTTCACAATTCTGTTTATTAGCAGTGCAAATTGTATATTTCCTTGTTCACGAAGGAGTCAAAAGAAGAGTCATAAAAGATTCTTTTCTCTCTCTCTAAAGCCCCATTTGTGTATGTAATGATAACTTGGAAAAAATGAAAATGGTCAAATGGTTTCTAGCCCTGAGTCATTGGTAAACTCAAAGCAAAGCAACTACTGTAATTTTAGAGCTAAGACAAATCTCATCTAGTACTGGTCTATGTGATGTCTTCAACACCATTATGTTGTTCCTTTTGTGGTTTTGTTTGTTTTCCGGGACACAGGAGGTTCTGTGCCTGGGGTTCTGTTCACAAAATCCACACTGAGACACCTGAGATATTTCTACATTTAGCATTGCCTAGAACCATACTCCTGGAATTCATATTCCTGCCGTTGTCCATGTGTTCATCTTGAGATCAACCAGGACAGACTGACACATGTGTTCTGAGAGAGGGAGACAGAAGGATGCATTTCCCAGTAGACAAGCAGAACTGTGTATTCTTGAGATTTGGTCAGAAAGGCAAAATGAATCCCCAGAGAGTTAGGGTGTAGGTATCATGTATGTTTGCTAAAAGGTTAGGTGCTAGGATTTTTCATATAAGGGTAAAAAAGCACACTTCCTTGGAAGACAGGATATTGAGTGTCACCCTTACCTGAATTACAGCTAAATGTTGAGCCAGTGGTTGATTTTAGGAGGCTCTGCTTTATCCTAGTTTTAATGAATGAGTTCCAGCTCCATATTCCCATGGATATGTAAGTAGATCTTTAGCAAATTTTGCAAATCCATGGTTTGGGAAATTATTTTCAGGACCTGATAACACATTTAATTCAGGCAATTTCTACTTGAAGCACTGACCTTCTATACTGATAGAACAGTGACAATCACTCAATGCAACTAGTCGTGATTACTTTCAGCACAAAACCACTCCCTTCTTGATTTTGTAACTGAAACAGAGCACTGAATGGGCCACAAATTCCAAGGGAATGTCAGCTGCTCTTGTTCCTGTTTTCCATTTCTTACCTGGTTAGGCACATGCGCACAAAGTCTGCCGCATTTTCTGAGAAGTGGTCTGGCAAAGGAGGCATCAGTCCTCGGTGTGCTCCAATATAAAACATGGCTGCCATCCTGTCCATGGAAGCCAATGGAGGCTTCCCTGTGGCCATCTCAAATACAGTGCAACCAATGCTCCAGATATCCGATTTCCTTCCATAGCCAGATTCATTGATGACTTCTGGGGCCATCCAATATGGAGTTCCATGCATGGACTTTAGCATGTCACTGTGAGTGCCATTCAAGCCTGCCCATGCCAAACGCTTGGCACAGCCAAAATCAATCAGTTTTATTATTCCAGTTGGCATTAGCATAACATTATTTCCTTTAATATCTCGATGTACCACACAGTTCTCATGCAGATAAGCAACACCTTGCAAGATTTGTTTTGTATATTTACAAAATACCATTTCAGGCAATGGCCCAAAACGGCTTATAATACTAGAGATTGAGCCACCAGGAACAAACTCCATGAAAATGCTTACAGTGTTCTGTTCCAAGCATGTCCCCAAATAGGCCACAATGTTGACATGTTTCAGGGCCTTGAGCAAATCTACTTCTTCCTGAAGTTTCCGGTATTCCCTTTCAGTAGCTAATTTATCAGAGGTATCCAAAGCTACTTGTTTTACAGCTATTAGCTGCCCTTGGCTAGTGAGGCCACAGTATACCTAGAGGCAAACAAATACCTTATTATTAAATTTAAATGACACAGTGACATGCACAAGATGCTTCTTGTCACATTTGACTTTACCTTCCCCAAAACACTTTATATATCCCCAAAGAAATGCAAAGTATTGAAGCAAGTTTTATGTTTCACTGAAGCCAACATGGCAGTGAACAAGTAGCATGCTAAGTGAATATCATACTGGCTTGGAGTTGAGTTGCTTGGATTGATTATAACTACACAATTTTCCCTTTCCCCAACTATATAACTTGAAAAGTTATATAATCATCTTTACCTCAGAAAGTCAAACTGAGTACAGTAAAATGGAGATAATTATATTTGCCTCACGTATTTTGTGATCACTACATCAGATAATGGTTTTAAAAAGCCCCTCACTGAATAAACAAAATAAGGGTAGCTTAGTTCTACAGCTTCCTGGAGAAAGGAGGCAAGTCCTGGTAGCTGTCCTCATGATGTTACCTCAACAGCCTGGTGTTTTCCACCTGAGGCAGGAGTTAGCTTGGTCAGCTGACTGGGGAAATGAGTACCACCAGGCAATCACAGAGATCACACATGCATCCTAGGCCCCAACTGGGACCAATCAGAATATGCTATCTTGAATTCTTCTGGCATGAAATCAAGAGGGGTTTTTTTGACAGAAAGACTAGATCTGATGTCAGAATGGAGAGATACAAGACGGCTGTCATTAATTTCATGGCCACTATACAGGTAAGCTCTTTCAGGCAGCCTACTCTCACCCTCACAGAGCATCTTTCTTTTCCTACCTGTAGTAAATGTAAAACCTTGCTGTGTTTTGCACACATCTTGACCAATTGTTTGTTCAGAACAAGAACCTGGAAAACTTTAGAATGAGTCACAACACCCTAGAACCCCACTGACACAACCTCACTGATCCCTGCAGTATTCCCAATTAGTGACTATAAAGACTATCTTATTGGGGGAGGTCAGTCTTTTCTTTATTTGTCTATGTAAGTACTATCAAAACTACTAAGACTTTAGATGGCCTTTTACACAATTGGCAAAACACAAGACACAACTTTTGGTTTTGCCAACCAGCGCTCATTCTCCCAACTTCATGTTGAGCTGTTGAAGGAAGAGATTCTCCCACCCCCACCCCAGGAGATTTGAACCTGTGGTAATGAGAAGTTAGAAGCACAATGGGCATTAAACCACCATGGAAGTATAAAAGTACAAGCTAGATGGAGACAAAGAAAGCCTGATGACATGGTTTGATCCCTGAAACCACCTATCCAGAGCCTGCATAAAATAATAAATATCTTTCATTCAAGCGAGTAGGTTTTGGGTTTTCTGTTACTTCCAAATGAAAGAACTTTATGTAAGAGAGTGGGCAGAACTGCAAGATGGAAAGTTAGGGAAAAGAAAGGTCAACAGAGGGCTGGGAGTTCTGATTTAACTTACTGTGCCATAGGCTCCCTTCCCAAGGATCTCACCCTTGGTCCACAAGATAGATTCTTCATGCTTTAAACTATTTGCAGAAAACATCCTCTTTTCACTCGAGGTCAGAAATTTCTCCTCCCTGTCATATATCCTGAACCCATTACTGCACCTCTGGAAAATTGAGACAAAAAGGAAGATTGTCATTAAACTCGGAGTCTTTGGAATGGAGATTATAATAGACTTCCTTTCAAAAGCACTCATCTATGACTGTTCTTGGGGGCCTGCCCCTTAGCTCAGTTCTTTAAGAGGCTGCTTCAACAAAGCAGTCAGGCTCAGGTTGCTGTGGTTCGATCCCCACAACACAAGACAGCCAGTCATGCCTTGAAGGCATTCAGCGCAAAAAAAAAAAAAAAAACACTTATGACTGTTCTTACTGTTGACAGATAACTTCTGGACCCCCAGATTTCCCAAAATGACCACATAACCAGTATGTGGTTAATAACAGTTTCTCTCAGTTGTGTCCCCATTTCCAATTTAGGACCAACTACAGAATTCCAAGTATGTTCATGTAACTAATCTCATAGGACGCTGCACTTCTAGTTAATCAACTGACCACATGGACAGTCTCCAATTAGGACACCTCTGAAGCCTTCTCTGTTTCCTACCATAAATCCCTTCAATTTCTCTGCCCACCTGTGTGTCCCTGCCAAATGCAAATGACAGTGGTTAAAGCAAACTCACATGAATAGTCTTTTCATTTTCATTTATTTCATAAGATGCATGTACATTTAGAGCCATACATATAAGTTAAGTACATATACATGTGAACATGTACATTTACAAAACATTAGTTTTTTCTCCCTCCCATCCCTCCCTCCTTCTCCCCCTGCCCACACAGAGCCATAACAAAGAATTTGAGTAGCTATGACCAACAAGATTGAAGATCCATAATCCTGAGGACCTTTGCTATTCTGAAGAAAATTGCAGACCAGGGCTGGTGAGATGGCTCAGTGGTCTAAAGCACCTACTTAGAACAAGCTTAGCAAAGCACAGGGACCGCAGTTCAATCCCCCAGCACCACATGCCAGCCAGCCCCACCCCCTGGGGCTGGCACACACACACACACACACACACACACATAAATAAAAAGAAAAAGAAAATTGCAGACCAGCAGAATCAGCTTTTAGACAAAAACAATCTCAAGCCCCAGACTGAATTAACATCTCCATTTTGATAGTAACTCCAAGAAATTCATGTTCTGTTTTAGGTACTTCCCTTGTTACTGGGACAAAATACCAGACACCCATAACTTCAGGAAGTAGAAGTTTATTTTGGGTCATGTTTCAGACAATCATCTGCTGGTGCCAAGGCTGGCCTGCATGGCAGAGGGCAGGAGAGAGGGTGGCTGCCCAGGCCATGCTGGTGAGGAAACAAAATTGGGACAAGCTGGAGAGGAAGATAAAGACCCTTCTAACCCATGCCCTCAATGACCCATCTCCTCCAACAAAGAGTAAACAACATGGCTGTACCACCCCCTAGTCAAATTACCTTCCAAATACATGAGGCTCTGGGGGCCATTTTCAATCTGAACCATTAACATGTTCACAGTAAACCTTGAGAGGAACTGCCCTAAAAGTCAGGGGAAAGGTATTCCTTTGAGGAACTTAGACCTCTGTCCCCAATTGTTTGACAAGGACCAAACTTTTCATTTTGATCTCCTCTACTAGTAATCTTAAAAATAAAGGATGTTAACACCGAAATCCTTCCTGTGATGGTTTATGTGCCATTAAAGCTACCCAAATCTCTCTTACTCATTTTTTCATTTCTCTATACAAAACAAAATCTAGGACTGCTTGGGAAAGAAAAGGTCATAAAAGTCCGTGCTACTTGTTTGCTTTGTGATGCTGAGATTGAATCCAGGGTGCTAAGCATGCTAAGCAAATGCTCTGGCATTGAGCCACACCCACTGCCTAAAGGTGAGTTTTTGCAGCCTGGAGTGCTGGCCTAATTATGCTTGCTGGCTTGTTGACTCCTGTTCCATTTGAAATGGCAGGTCTGTAGGCCCATTTTGGATACACACATATGCACACACTACACCCACTTCTCACTCCAGCCTGGCAGCTTCTCTAAATCACTACCTCCAAGCATGGACAAAGTTCACCCTGAGAATGAAGCTGGACACTCAGGATGAGAAATATGCCTCGCTGAGCAGTGCTTCAGGGTGTGCAGCTACAATCAGGATGCCTAGAAACACCAGGCATACGGGCTCCATTATCTTCTAAACCTCAGTCTCTTCATTGACAATATGGGGATACTGGTACCTAGGGTATTTATAGAGCAATTATGAAACATTAAATGAAATAATACAATGAGCCTCACTAAAATGTAGTAAGTTCTCAGTAAACCTAAGTATGGTATAATTATTTGCTTTCTCTGTGATCAAAAAATATAGTGATAATCCCAGTGCTGAGGAGGCTGAAAACAGGAGGTCTACAAATCTGAGCTGCATAGTGAGACCCTGTACCAAATACATAATAATAAAAAACACAGTGAATGCTAAAATGTATTATAGTCAGAAATCACATTGCTATTAATCCCCTTAAAATACTCCCCTCACTTCAAGTACACTTACCCCATTCTTTTTGCTACTTTAGGATGTGTCCTTTACTATAATAAATTGCAAAAATTTTAACATTCACTGCATATTTTGGTCGCATCTGCTTTCATGTTTAATATCATTTCAGCTTAATTTAGTATTTCTGTCCTTAAAATTTGAGCAGGATAAGGAAATCATGCACTCAGGGAATAATGAAACAAAACAACTGTGTTGATACTCATTTTCTTTCCAGTCTCACTACCATGCCAAACAAAATGCTTTGAATTTTTTTCAGGAGTTTTGCTTATGCTTTGTTGAGAGCAATAGATGAGTCTTATGAACTACTGTCTCCCTTGTTCTCAGCTCAGTGACAGAAACACAGTAGGTATCAAAATTTTTGTGTTAAGGTCGTGAATCATCTGAGAGTAAATGCTCGGGTACAGGGAATCTTTGAGAAATGCTCACTTCTTGTCTTCATATGAAATGGTGAGCTATTTTACAGGCCATGGTAACTTTTTTGCATCTTACACAATACTTAAACACATCTAGAGTAATGTTCTATCACTTCACTAATTATGAAAAATTATCTTCTTTGAAAATATGATTTTTTTTCCAGAACCAGGGATTGAACTCAGACCCTTGCACTTGCCAGGGAAGCACTTATTCTACTGAGCCATCTCCCCAGCCCCCTGAAAATATGATCAATGAATAAAACCCCAAGTGATTTCATTTCAGGGTTAAACTAAATTCCAGAAGCAAGGCCACATAAAGAAAACATCTTGTGAGGACCTGGATTAGAACCTTGAGACCCAACAATGAAACTTTGGAGAAACTACTTAATTATTTAGAATTTATGATTCCTCACTTGAAAATACTTTGAACCAGATTTTATATGAGGTTCCCTCCCATCCCAAGGAATCTCTGATTCTAATTATACAAACCTGTATTGTGATATTTGTGGCCTCTATGTTCAATTCTTTGATGGTATTTCTTCTACTGAGAACATGATTCAAGTTTTCAGTATCTCTTTCATTTCCCATTATTTGGCAGGAGTTGTTATCTTTCTCATCAAGAGCTAAGAGTTCTGCAGCTAGACAACCTAATAGTTCATCTGTCAATTCTTCATTCTTTACTGAATCCAGAATTTCTTGGGAAATAGAACTTGTATCCTCTAAAGTTTTTCCAAATGTTTGGAATGTTATGGACTTACTTGTTAAACTATCACAATCCAAAGAATGTGCCCAATATTGATATGTTTGGGAAGATGTGCTTTCTTGCTTCTCTTGGAAAGAGAAACTTGCAGGTGTTTTAGGTTTCTCTAAAACATTATCAAATTCTAGATAATTCATTAACATTTGGCCGGCATTTATTTCACTCAGCGGTGTTGTACTCTGCTTTTCCGGCAGTGGCAGTACACGTTTGATAGAATTCTTCTCAGTGGGCATGGCCCAGCTGTTTTCTAAAAGGGTCTGATGATGTAGGTCTTCAAATTCTTGCAGATCTCTAAGGCTTGTGGTGAGCACTTGATCCTTAGAAACGTCTCCCTTGTGGGTAGACTCTTCCATGGAGATTTCTGCAACAATGGATAAATCTGAAACAGGAAGAAATTGGTTCTGTTCAGGGGACTTCTCAAGACTCCTGGCCAAACTCATGGGCTGAGTCTCATCTTTGGGAGATAGAAGCTTGTTTCCTGAAGATTTTATTTGCCACCCTGCTTCTGAAATACCATTACTATTTTCAATGTCTTGTAGGTTTCTAACTATAACTTTGCAACCCTTTTCTTTAGAAATTAACCCTTTTTGCTTTTGTTTCAGAGAAACTGAAGGCTTTGGAGGTTTAATATGTGATCTTTTTTGAGAAAGTCTTGTTCTGCTGTTGCTGCTCCGCTCACTGTGCAAAGATCGACATTTATTAGTTATACATCTGCCTGATGGAGCTGAATATAACTCATGGTAAAATCTGTTTTCATGTCGTTCAGCCTCTCGCATGTGACAATAAACAGGGGTGCCAAACATTTCATATATGCCAGGTCCATTAGCAGTTGAATTGATTTCTTTGAACATGTCACTATACTTAAGATCCAGATAATGCAATCTTGGCTCTGTTGGTTGAGCAGAGAGAGGAACACATGGTTTTTTTATTCCTGAATTTTTACAGATGCAAGGAAATGATTGCTTTTTAGGTTTCTGAGTTCGGTAAGTTGACTGCTTCTTTTCTATGTGTAGTGCTCTCCTTTGAAACTTGGGTGATTGCTGAGGCCTAGGGTCAACAAGCTCTAAAGCAGGGAAAACTTGAGTTTTTATGTTAGTTTTGTGCACATTTGGCTTAGTGGAAGCTTCAATGGAAATTGTGAACTTCTGAGATGTCTTCTTACTTGTTTTGGCCTTTGAATCCAATTTACTCCTATGGCTATTCTTATGTGTGTCATTTTCGTAGTGTGCCAGTATGTTGAAGCTATTGTTATGAATGGTACTCTTTCTTTTTTGGAGGGTTGGTTTGGTTATAGCTGGTGTCTTGGGGGTTCCATCTCCAGGGGAAGTGATGTTCATAAGAGGCATCTTCTCATTGATTTCTGTTTTGCTTTCTTCTGCTATGGATATTTTCATGTTTGTCTCCATATCAGTATGGCCTTCTAGAACCTTTTCAATGGAACCATCAGAAATTATATTTGACAAGCTTTTAAGGTCAGTAAACTCTTCTAAAATGTTTGCTTGTATGGCTTCATTTTTATGCAGTAAAGGGCTTTTTGAATCAATTGTATCATTTCTAATCTCTTCATCCTCAGCTGGAGCTATTTCTGAATGTTGGGCTTCTTGGAGCTTACTTGGAAAGGTACATACAATTTCTGAGTCTTGTTCATATTTTCTGGCCACTGAACCCAGTTTATTTCTTGATGAAAGATCTTGGGAGTTCTCTTCTGCCTTTTTGCTATCACTACCATGACGTTCAGTATCCTCTCCCCTATCTAAAAGAATATTGCTTTCCTTAAAAGTCCCAAAAAGACACTGCCTTTGATCAAAGCAGGAGATGTCAATTTTGTCCCATTCCTCTACTTCCCTGGACCTCCAGTTCTCCCCAACCTCCAGGTGTTGTTTGTGGTGGTTACCTTTCCAAAAAGAATACATGTTTCGTGACCAAATATAGCTATCAGAAGTCCTGAGACTCTGATCCACCAAGCCCTTCAATGAGGTTTCTTGTTGTGGACTAAATGAGAATTTAGGCACAAAGGAAGTGAGGTTTGAAATACTTCCTTCACTTTCTCTTGGAAACTTGTGACTTTTGGGAGCGATGAGGACATCAGATTGGATGGGCAAGAGCGACAGTGGTGGTAGAGGGAACTGAAAGGGGAAGAGAGAAAAAAAATGCAGAAACATATGTAAATTTTGGTTAATTGGATTAAATTCATCTGAAAATATAATCTTCTCTTAGGAAATACCTTTAGAGTACAAAGCTATCCTAGAGATCAAAATTTTTAAGGCTAAAATCTCAGTAGAACATTGACTTATCAGGTATATTGCCATGTGTTTAATTTCCAGCACCAAAAAACCCAAAAAAACAAATAAAACAACTAAAATCTCATACCCAGTAGATTTTTTAAAACAAAACAAAAAAAGATATAGACACTCGTGGTTACTGTTTTGTTTTTGTTTTTTTGAGACAGGGTCTTGCTATATAGTCCAGGCTGGCCTTGAACTCAAGGCAATCCTCCTGCATCAGCTTCCTGAGAGCTGGGATTACAGGCATGTGCCACCACACCCAGCCTTATATTTTCAAATCAAGGATCTGCATTAAAATTTTAAGATAAGAAGCACTTGGTTTCTTCTTTTAATTTTTCTTTCTATCAGATTGCTTTAAGATTTTTGAAATCCCGGAGAATAGTTTTAAATTGCACTTACATATATTTTATCAATGGTAACTCCATTTTTGGTCACAAAATTTGCATCTGGCACACAAATACTCATCATCATCTTACTGAATTGTTTTGTTGAGAGTAGCTTATACATTGCTGGACTTTACACTTGAAAGTTAGGCATAACTTTTCATTCTTCTTTACACTTCAATTACAGTATACCCGATGAAGTCACGGTTCAGAGTTCGCATAAAGGCTGAGTCCTTTGAAAAGTTTTCCATAGAGCCTATTAATTTTTGCTGGAAACCTCTGAAATTTCGAGGAAACCGCAAATAGCATCCGTACTTGCAGAGGGGTGGAGGGCTTTGCATGTAACCAATCCGAAAGCATTATCTAGTTCTCCTTGCTAGTGATTGGCTACTTCCCCATCTGCAGATGCCTCACAGGTTGCTGTACCTCATGGCTATCTCTAATGTTCTTGCTTTTGTTCTCCTTAGAGCCCTAAGGTCCCTAAGAATGCCCTACACCTTCTAAGGCTTTGGGTGTTTTTTTTTTTTTGTTGTTGTTGTTGTTTATGTTTTGTTTTGAACTCAGGCCCTTGCACTTGCCCTAAAGCTTTATTAATACAGTATATTATTAAATTGCATAACTTCAGGAGATATCGCACATTTAGGGTTTAAACTATTAAAAATTTGCATTTATAGGCATTTTTCTAACCATATCTGAAATTCACGGTTTTTCACAACTCGCAGGTGTTCTAGGAATGTAACCTCACGAATTTCAGGGAATTCGCGGTATTTTCAAACTAAGCTAGTTTTTGTTAATACTAACCTCTAGAGGTCAGTATAACCCAGTGTATAATGTTCAGCTTGGTGGTCATTAAGTTATAAGCACTTCCTTGTGGGCTTTTCCCTTGGATACAGAGTCCATAATTGTTTTATTTATTTATTTATTTATTTATTTAATTTGTGTGTGTGTGTGTGTGTGTGTGGCCAGCTCAGCCCACGAGGGGGCCGGGCTGGCTGGCATGTGGTGCTGGGGGATTGAACCACGGTCCCTGTGCTTTACTAAGCTTGTTCTAAGTAGGTGCTTTAGACCACTGAGCCATCTCACCAGCCCCATAATTGTTTTAGAATACTTATAGGCACAGACTATGGCAATCGAGATCTTATAAGTTTAATTTTCATATTTTTGCCACCTTAAGGAAGAATAAAAAATGGATACTAGGGGATATTAGGGGATGAGTTGCAATGTAGCTTCATTTTCATTGTCTGGGTGATTTTCTACATGTTCCTCAAACAAGTTAGAAATAATGGCATATTCTCCCAGTGCTTCAATGTTCTAGTAACTGTCATCAACCTTTTTAGGTCAATAAACTTTTTAAAACACTAAGAGGTACTAATGATGAGTATTTTCTCAAAGGTTTACAGGATACAGAAGGGGTGAGAAAGCTGAGAAAACTAAAGTAGAAATATCTTTCTAAAAAGTTTTACTTTTAAGTTAAACAGCTAAAAAATTTTCACCATTAGAAAAATATTTACCTAACTTCTAGACAGATTAACCACTTACCAGTCCAATTATTTAAATATAAGATGACCAAAAGTTGTATTTTTTCATTAATTTTTATAAGATATTATAACAGGAAATATAAAAATGATTTTATCAAATTTAGCCAATACAAGAATTGACTGTTGAAATGACAACTGCCTGAATAATGATCAGGAGAGTCAGTACGTAAACAAATATACTTGAGTGATGCTCAGGCTAAACTTTTAAGTGGATAAATGAAATCAGATGAAGCCAGGCAGGGTGGTACATGGTTGTAATCCCAGCACTTGGGAGCCTGAAGCAAGAGGATCACTGTGAGTTCAAGACCAACCTGGGCTACAAAGTAAGTTCAAGGCCACAAGCGGGCGCTTATGCCGTTGAGCTTACACTGAATGAGTCTGTCTTAAAAACAAAAACAAACAACAACAAAAGTGAAACTGTCGAAGAAAGCTACCCACTTCATTATGTAGAGAAAAGGAAAAACCCAAAAAAGCCGTATACAAGGCATCATTTTCCCAGGAATGACTGCTAGTCTATGAACTATGAGTTGTTGTTTTCCCAAGATATAATTGCTGAGGACCAGGTTCTGAATAGTGTAATGAAGATTGTCTTTAACAGTTAAAAGTCTCCCATTTTTAATTCTCAAGTCAGAAATGCTAAAATTAATCTTACCCCAATTCTTCGGCTACTGCATTTCATATCACATGGAGAAAACTCTGCAAAGAGAAAAATACAATAATTGAATATTCTTAGCAGTTGAGTAAAACAAGTTCTTAAACCAGAGTTTGAAGATGAAGTAAGGCAGATACTAAAGTTTGAGGAAAAGTGGTAGAAAGTAAGTTTCTCCCTGTGCAATCTACATGAAGTAGGTATAGAAAACTTTAGGCTACGGCCACCAGGAGGAGTTGTTTGATTCAGTAGTTTTCCCTTATCCACAGTTTTGCTTTCCATGGTTTCTATGGTCTAAAAACAATAAATGGAAAATTGTAGAAAAAATTTAGTTTATAAGCATAATGAAATCCCACTCCATCCTTCTCTGTCCCATCAGGATATGAATGACCTGTCCTTCATCATCTACACTGTATATATGCCCACCTGCCCACCCATTGCTCACCCTCTAGCCAACACTCTCTTATTTATTTATTTATTTATTTATTTATTTATTTATTTATTGCTGTACTGGGCCTTGAACTTGGGACCCTGCTGTTCTGAAGCCAGGGAGGCACTTATGTCACTGAGCTATACTCCTGTCCCCTGTCTTTTTTACTTTAAAGAGAAAAAACAATGAAGCAAAACTTCAACACAAGATAATAAGAGAGTAACAATGGTTAATACAATGTATATTTTTATCTTCAAAGTAGTTGTTCAGAATATAAGATATAGGCATGAAAAACTGACCAAACAATATTAGTACAAACCTGTTCAATGAACTAAGAGAAATTAGTACTATACCTATCTCAGATACCTTGTGCTTATCTGTGTATTTTTTTCCTTTCCCCTTCCTTCTTTTCTCCTTTCCCCTATCGCCTTTTCTCTTTCCTTTTAAACAGCTTCTTTTCATTTCACAATATCTATTGTACATTTTGGATTCTAGCCATCTCTGTTGTCAGGTTCATTATCATAATATTACAGTGCTTGTTCTCCCATAACCTCATGTAAGAGACTAAAGCTACACTGCTACCTATGCCTGTGTCATTGACCTCACTTTACTTTGTCACATAAGTGTTACATCATCTCATATCATTATAAGAACAAGGAGGGTGAGTGGAGAGCAAAAAGATGCATTCACATAACTTTATATTATTATAATTGTTCCATTGTTACTGACTCTTACTATGCATAATTTGTAAATTAAACATTATCATTGGTATGTATGTGTAGGAAGAAACATGGAGTATGTAGGGGTCAGAACTATCAGTGCTTTCAGTCATCCACTGGGGAACTTGAAACAGAACCTCTGTGAAGAAGTTTGGGCTACTGTATTTGTATCTATTTCTGACAGGGCACATGAGAGCTCTGGGTCAGAGAACAGACCATTTCTTAACGATAGAGCACCTGGCCCCACAACCCCAATCCTCTCAGGATGATGTTATGAGAGCCAGATGTTTACATGGTGGGTTTGTACCATGGAGGGGCCTTGAAATTACGTGTCTTGGGTGGTATTATGAGTGGTTGGCACCTTCGCCTATCATTCCCACCAGAGATCCTTGAGACCTTTAGGGTGAAATGTAAGTGAAGGTCTCAAGGACAAAGCAATACGCTGTCTCTGAGCTTTATTACCCTAGGATTTGAGCTAATAGTTCCTAAGGAAATGAGTATCTTACATGTCTCTAGAGCTGACACAGATTCTAACTTCCATGGCCTGTTTGCCATCTAATCATCTTTGAACTTAGTTTTCTAGGGCTTTTTGCTCAGAAAGCCTGGACTGTGCAGAAATATGAAAATATTCATGTGGAGTTGCCTCCTAACAGTTGTTTGAGTTAGATCAGAAATTCTGTGCAGTGAGGGAGGTAGGAAAGAGGAGTGTGGAATTTTCTAGGTAATATAAGTAATAAAAAACCTAGAAGTGGCACTCTTCTTACTGCTAAAAAAATCAGAATGGTTCCCCAAATCCTATCTACCAGTACAGCCTAAAGCTGAAGTAAAAAAGGCTCTGATTTCCCCAAGGTCAAAAAAGTTATATAAGTGGGACAGTGGTGAACTGAGATCTTGTGCCTGAACTAGAGTGCTATCATTATCCAGTTGTAAGTGAAGTCCAAACCAGATGGGTAACCCAGAGCTGCGAGCTCTTCCAAGGACAAAAGATACCAGAGATCTTCAGATTTCATAAGAAATGCCTCCTAGTGCTTTGGGGGATTTTTGTTTGTTTTGGAGACAGGATCTCACTATTTATTCCAGGATGGCCTAGAACTCACTATATAGCCCAGGCTGGCCTCAAACTCATGTGGAGCTTTCTGCCTCACCTCCCAAGTACTAGGATTACATAAAGAGCACACCACGTAGAATGTTAGTCTTTTTTCTTTTTAAGGCTGTGAAAGCCAAATAAAATATACCTGTAGATGTTTTTGTCATTCAAAATAAAATATACCTGTAGGTGATTTTGAAATTTTTTTTTTTTTTCTTTTTGTGGAACCAGGGATTGAACTCAGGCCCTTGTACTTGCCAGGCAAGTTCTTATTCTACTGAGCCATCTCCCTGGTCCCTGAAATTTTTCTTAGAAAGAAATGAACTTTTTCAAGCTATAACATAAGCAGAAGAGGGCATCTCAGGTGAAAAAGTTACTAAGAAGAAGATTCTCACAGGCATTCTGAGCAACAGCCAGGCCTTCCTCCGCGTACACAGTTCTATTTTGTTTTTAAGAAAATGATTTTATTTAGTTCTAAATGTGATAACGTGTAATTTCTTCTTCTTCTTCTTCTTCTTCTTCTTCTTCTTCTTCTTCTTCTTCTTCTTCTTCTTCTTCTTCTTCTTCTTCTTCTTCTTTTTCTCAGTACTGAGGATCAAACTTGGAACCTTCTGCTTGCCAGGCAGGTGCTTAGGCCACTCAGCAATCTACCCAGCCCTTAAGTTCATATTTTAAAGTTGATGATTAAATCTTAGATTCATATAACATTTTCCATTCAGTTTTTGTCTTATTTGGGATTTGTTTGTTTGTTGTCTTTTTGAGAAAGCATCTTGCTATGCAGTTCAGGCTGGCCTTCACTCACTTGCAGCCCAGGCTGGCCAGAAACTCATGTTGAATCTCCTGCTTCAGCCTCCTGAGTGCTGGGATCACACGTGTGTACCACTATGCCTGGCTCTAAGAATTTTTAGGCAACAAAAACATCAATATGGTCAAATGTGAACTCATTTCACTTTTTTTTTTTGTCGGAACCAGGTATTGAACTCAGGCCCTTATGCTTGCAAGGGATTTCACTTCTTTTTTTTTTTTCCTCAGAACTGGGGATTGAACTCAGATCCTTGTGCTTGCCAGGCAAGTGCTTATTCTACTGAGCCATCTCCTCGGCCCTCATTTCACTTTTGTATTAACAACTAATATTTATACTGTTCCTCAATAGGCATAAAAACTTTTTGTTGTTATTTTGCTTTTAAAAGAAAACACTATTTAATAAATTATATCATAGCCCCAAAGTATGTTGAGGGAGTATAAAAGATTACAGGGAGAAGAGCTTAAGTGTAGTGCCATTTTTTGGTGTGTCTTGAGTCACCATTCTTTCCTGTAAGATTATGATTTTTACTGTAATTGGTTTAGTTTTAAGATGGCAACATATTAAAAATTATTATTAATACAGGCTTTTCAATATGTCCAAGACTATGCATTGTAACTGGAATGAAGCAGCATTTCCAGCTGACAAATGGATCTGTGGGTGATGAGGTAGCTCCTAAATAAAGCTTGTGACAAACCAACAAACGGTGGCAATGAGGAGACCACTGACAAAGCACAACCAGGGAACATTACGTCTCAATATGTGCAGGATCCTGTTCTGTAAATGAAAGAATGAATACCTGAAGCAGCACAAATGGTGACAAGGTACCAAGAAAACAGACAATAAGCTTCAGCATTTTTTAGAATTTACAATGTAACTAGGGAGGGATGAAGACTGAAAACATAAGATAGTTGTATTTATATAGGAACTTATTTTAAACAGCCTTACTGAAGCAATAACATCCAAGAGGTGATAAGAACCATAAATAAAATTATCATGGAAAGTAACAGGCAGTAACTCTGAATGCTGACATAGACAGGATTTTGGTAAGAATATTCTGTGCAGGGGCTGGGGAGATGGCTCAGTAGAATAAGCACTTGCCTGGCAATCGCAAGTGTCTGAGTTCAATCCCCGGTTCCGCCAAAAAAAAATTAAACAAAAAGAATATTCTGTGCCTTCAGGCTTTGGTAGAGAGCTGGATTTCCCAAAACATAAGCAAGGACTCTGGAACGCAAATTAAAATTACTGCAAAGAAATAAAACAAGTTTTGACATTTTGATGAAAGCTTCATGACATTAGAGAAATTCAAGCAACAATCTGATATTATTACAAGATATTAAGAAAATTGGAAAATGCAAAAGCCTTAAGTAAAGGAAATAAGGGGCCAGGAAGATGGTTCAGTAGAATAAGTGCTTGCCTGGCAAGCGCAAGGGCCTGAGTTCAATCCCCACCCCTTGCCCCCAGTTCCGCAAAAAGAAAGAAAGAAAGAAAGAAAGAAAGGAAATAATTTCAGCAAATAGGCAAAAATGGTATTTAGTAGACCTAATACCTGAAAGTACAAAATCCCTGAAATAGGATATAATAGAAATGCTACCACAGGCCAGGGAGACGACTCAGTGGAATAAGCTCTTCCCTGGCAAGCGCAAGGGCCTGAGTTCAATCCTTTGTTCCAGGAAAAAAAAAAAAAATTAAAACATCAACAAATGCTAATAAAATACAAAACCAGTCCATAAAGTTTTGATAGCTGTCTTTTTCTCCTCATTCCTAATATAAGGGTCTTTAATAATATTTTCCCAACTACAATTAAGAACAGCAGACTCATAGCATCTAGAGGCTGATTAGTTTGATGTAACTGATTCTGAAAAGGCCAGTTGTCTAAAGAAAAAGGTGTCATATTTTTAGTTAAATTTTAAGAAGGCCTGCTGAAATATACATGAGAAAATGCAGTTTCATCTTATTTTCTATCCTCTCCAAAGCGTCTTCCTGGTCAATGATCCTACTTAGTTTTG